TGGGGACGAGGCAGCGGTGGGGCCGTGGGTGCCGACAATTGGGTGCTCGCACGTAGACACACTCACACTGCACACACTCACACCACACACAAACACACTCACACACTCACACACACTCACACTCACCTGGCGATACCAGCGAAGGACCACACGCTCTCGGCGAGGACGCTCTCGTTTTCGGGCAGGAAGGCCAAACTCCTCATCCCTTTGCTTTCCCCTCCTGCCGCTGCTGCGGGAGCCCGTTATTCCCCTCTTCGCTCCCAAACACCCGTGGGGTGCTGTGTATCCCCGTGCCTCAGTTTCCCCCCAGCACTCACCGGTGTCGCGGGGCTGCTGGTGGAGCTGTCCCTCGGCCCCGCAGTCGCGGTAGGCTCCCGAGCGCAGCACTTTGCTCCGGATGGCTTTCTTGCGCACCAGCACTGGGGAGCAGTAGGGATTCCCCGGGCGCCAGGCTCTGCTCTCCACCTCCTGCCGCCGGTCCTGGGGGATGGACAGGCTGTGAGAGTGCCCGGGGGGCTCTGATTGTGGGGAATGTCCCAACACTAGCCAGAAAAATGCTGTCCAAAAGATGGGACACCAAAAAAGCTATGCAAAACACCATGCCAGGAAAAAAAAAAAGTAGTGCAAAACACCTTGGAGAAAATGCAGTGCAGAACATGGTGTGCAGAAGAAATGCCATGCAGAACACCGTGGAAAAATGCCATGCAAAAAATCACCGTGCTGTGCAAAAACACAGTGCAAAAAGATCTGTGAAAAATGTTAAAATATCAAAATGAAAACCAGTAAAAATGCTCAGCAAGGAATGCCACGCCAAAAGAGCCATGCAAGCCACCGTGCAAAAAGTGCCATGTAAAAAAGTTACAAGAAATAATGCTGTGTAAAAAAAGTTATACAAAAACGTATCATGGAAAGAGAGTGCTGTGAGAAAACACCAAGGCAAAAATGCACTCCTGTAAAACCTCCTGTAAAATCACTGTAAATAATAGCGGTTCAAATTGGCCAACGCCAAACACCAGGCAGGAAAGGCCCTCAAGGAAGGGCCCTGCAAAGTGTGAGCCTCAAAATACCGTGCAAGGAAAGGTTGTGCAAAACTCTGCACACACACCCCCGTGCAAAGAAAGGCTCCACGAGGAGGAAACGCAAGGAAACACCACGCAAGACACCAGTGATGTGTGATGTGACAATGTGCTGCTCAAATTCAAGAAAAGGCCGCACAAGAGCTGCCTGGGAACACGCTGCACAAAAACCCCCTGTGCTAAAAGCACCGTAAACAGAGTGCTGCGAAAGAAACGGGGCCAGGAGCTGGACTTCGGTGAACCTCGAGGGTCCTTTTCAGCTCAGAATATTCTGTGAAGGCTCTGCAGAGGAAAAGCCAGGCGAGGCCTGCGCACAACAGGCCATGCCAGAGCACTCATGCCAAGTGGCCAGCAAGGAGACAGCGTGTGAGAATCGCAGGTGTGAGAATCGCAGGTGTGAGAATCGCAGGTGTGAGAACACCGTGCACACAGACGAGCAAAGGAGCAGCAGCCTGGGGAGGGCAGGGCAGGGGCACCTACCCCGGTGCCGGTGCCGAGGCCGCCGGGCGCGGGCAGGCGCCGGAAGGACACGAGGGCGTTGACATTTCGTGACACCTCCTCGGGGTTGAGGGGCTCCCACAGCACCCCCGGCCCCGGGAGCTCCCCCTCGGCCGCCTGCTCCTCGGGGTGCGCCAGGAGGTAGCAGAGCTGGAAGGAGCGGCAGAGGAGGAGGTGCAGGGTCTGGACCTGGGGGAGGCAAAATGCAAATATTAAATATAATAATAATGATGGTGTTTTGGGGACGTGGGGGGGTTGGGTCACCACCTCTCCCGGGAGCCCCACGAAGAGGTGGCAGAAGAGGGTGCTGGGGGGGCTGTGGGGGTTGCGGGCCACGAAGGCGAACTGGCGGTCGGGGAGCCTCCAGGTGCTGTACAGGATCCGGCGCACTGCATGTGCCATGAGCAGCGTCTGCAGGATGGGGAGGGGGTCAGGGGCACCCAGCACCTGGGGCCCCCACAGTGGGACCCCTGTTTGCACACACGAAACAGCTTCTCAAGAGAAAAGCAATGCTCAGAGAAGTACAGCTCCCCCAGGCACCTTTCCAGCCACACTGACACCTCCCCAGCATTCCTGACCCCGCTCCCTAGCACCCGTGAGCTGCCAACCCCAACTCCTCAGACCCTGACCCTCCTCCCCAGCACCCCTGGCCCCTCCCAGCATCCCTGACTCTTGTCCCCAGCACTGCTAAGCCTCCTTCCCAGCACCCCTGACCCTCCCAACACCCCTACAACACCCGACTTCCCTGCTCAGCCCCCCTGAGCCCAAGCAACCCATCCCTATCCCCCCTACCCTCTCATCCCCCTACCTCCCCATCAGCACTGTAGACCTTCAGGCCCTGCAGGCTGAACCTCAGCACCACCGGCCTCCTCCTGGGACAGTCCTGTTGGGGTAAAAGTGCCACTGGGGGTCTGGGCTGTGTCTCCTGTGAGTGCCCCGATTATTTGGGGTCCCCTATGTTTCCCAGCGAGGGGAGCAATGGTAGATTCTGACCTTCAGCGTCCACAGCTGCTCCTCCAACTGCCCCGCTCGCTGCTGCAGGTCCAGCTCCTGCACTATGAAGGATCCCACGTACTGGGGGGAGCAAGAACCCCACCTGTGTGTCAGCAACAACCCCCACCATGGCCCCCCAAGGGCAGCAGGCCCACGCTGAGATGATGGTTTAGGGAGTCATCAGGATGCAATGACACCCAAATCTCATCTCGGGGTGTCACACACACCCCCCTCCCCCTGCCATGGGTAAATCACCTCTGCTGGCTTGGTGACAGACCGGACTCGCTGCTGGGGGGCTGCAGGGTCCTGTCCCCGCCCATTGCCCGGCTTCTTCTTCATGGCAGCAGGCTTTGGGGGTGAAGGCTGGATCAGGATGGGGTTAAGCAACCCCGATGCCACATCTGAGTTATCCGGAGCCCTCCAGGGTGGTAGTGCTGGAGCAAGCAGGGGGAACCTGGCTCTGGCCCCCGATCACTGTCCCTGGGAGGAGGGAAGGGACAGACACAACCTGCTTCCCCTGACCGCTGTTTCCAGCCCGCTGAGCCCTGGGGAGCTGCTGCGGTCCCTGCACGGAGCTCCCCAAGTCCTGACGCCAATGCAGATGTCCCCAGGTCCCAGCCCCAGTAAAGTATTCCCAACCCCAACACAAGGGTTGCAGCATCCTGACCACATGGGTGATGTGGGGGTCCCCATCTGCTCCTGAGCTCCATGTCCCCGCTCCAAGCAGCGTGCACAGTCCCCACATCCTGATCCCGAAGGTGATGGATGCAGTGCCCACATTCCATCCCCAAATGAAACCCAAGCGATCCCTGCATGCCGAACACAAACTCTGGAGCCCAAGTGAGGTGCATGCAGTCCCACAGCCCGAACTCCAGCAAGGTTTTGGGGACCCCCCCACATCCTCCCCCTCCCATCCTCCATCCCACTTCC